ACATATATATGTGTGTGTGTGTTATGTGTTTGTACAGTGTTTTAATTCTCACTGACTTTGCCCTTTTCTAGCCCCACTCCCCACACTTTGTCAAGCTACTTTGAAAACTTGCAGCTCCTTGTGAGAAAAGTTGTAACGCAGCACAGGATCAGGAATTCTGCACTATATTACAACAGACACAAATCCAATCAGTTTGGGAAGACCTGTACGTACAAATGCCAACTTATTAATAATAAGGCAATGATGGGAGAAACTGAAGCGGTGCAGCTAGTAAACTAGCACAGTTTTCATCGCTACCAACGGAAGCTGAGTTCATACAATGGAAGGCTAAATTCTTTTTGTTTAATTTAATTTAATTAATGTAGATTAATTTATAAATTATCCCAGCATGTTGTCTAGAGGTGTGTTTTCATTTTGGTTATAACACAGGCTCTAAAGCACGAAGTAAACACTACTTCAAATAGTTTTTCCCCAAAACGTTCAAGAGTTATTTTCCCATTTTGCTACCAGTCCTTGAGAGAAGAACTCCTAAAACACGGAATTCTAGTAGGATTAGCTGCAGTTAGGACAAGTATATTTTTCTTGAAGCAGAAAGTTGACAGATGACTTTTTGTTACCCTCACCGCAGCAAAGTGCAAGCACGAACTCCTCCAGCACGTACGAGGGGCCAGTGTCAGCACTGCAGGTAATAACTTGCTCTTGTCTGTTTTATGAAAAGCTGCAAATCCCATTTTTGAGTTGAAATGTTGAGTCTCTCTGAGACAAGAACATGGGAAGAAATCTGTTAGGAATATAAGGGAAAAAGTACAGGGAAAAATACTAGAGAAATATTCTTATATTCTTAATAAAACTGGTCCTCCAGTCTCTTGAACAATTGCTTTCTTTTAGTACGGAGGGAAAGCCTAGAGTAAATTAGCTGTTTTCTTGTTTAGTGTGCTCCAAGATGAAAAAAATTAGAGACTTAAATCTTAGGCAAAAGCATTCTCTTCTCCCCCAAAAGGCCTTGCTCCAAGGGTTTGTCTTCATTAGCTGTAGAGAGCAGTGACATATTATTTTGGCATTCCGGGGGACTGCAGCAAATTGTCCCTCTTGGCTGTCATTGTCTCCTATGGAAGCAACAATGGCTTCCATTTATCACGAGCTGACACCACATGGCATGCAAAATTACGTTTCACACTGCAGCATCCAAAGAGATGGTGTAAATAAAAACCATTTACATAAAACACCTAGCAACCGGCAAAAAATAAAAGGAAAAGTGTAACTGTTTTGAAAAATGAAGCACCTTTTCATGAACCACAGTGATTTCTGCTTCTAAGCAGCAGCTCCGAAAGCGTTAACTGACATAAAAACCATCTTCCAGAATGTGTAGAAAGAATCCGGAGGCTGATGCTCCAGGGAAGGCAGTGAAATTTCACCATTTAAAAAAGGTTGTGATAAACATACCGTTTTCTAGAGACATCAAAGCATGGTGCAGCTGTTCCTATGTCAAAGAAGTATTGTGTTCCCTCCAACAATTCACTGGTGTCAGCTTGTGTTTGCTGTTGGTGACATTAGCACAAGCGAATGCGCCGGCCTAGCAGCGACTCCGGGCTCTTTTTGTTTCAGATGCTGCTGGTGGGACCAGTGCCTGCATGTTTTCATGGACAGCAGGTAAACACCCCCCACCCCCCATCTGGGGAAGGCCATTTCACTGGGGATCTAAAGGGCTCCTCCCCAGCGGGGCAGCCAACATCCACTTCACTTGTCTGAGAAATGCCTGAACTTTTGTGTCCTCCCACAGGAATTCTGGGGTATGCCTTGGCTGTTGCTCTGACGTCTGGTTCTGATAAGTGATTTGCAGAGCCTACTGTCTCCTAGGAATTCTGCAGGAAGAGCCTGGGTGAGGTCATTCGGCTTTTCACTGAGTTTCCTTTCTCTGGTTTTGGCCGTTCTAGTGAACATGACCCTCTAGCACTCAGGAATACTTCTGTTCCCCTAGGAACTATCGACCACTTGCTGGTTTTATCTCTGCGCACACAAAAGCTCCATGTCCCTGGAAGGGGAAACAAGGTTGACATTAACCAGGAGAACATAAGCAGCTCGTAGATGCAGCTGTGAGCTGAGTTCATTTATTAGCTCAAGTGCTGGCAGAGCTTACGCTTGTTTCTCGGCCTCTCTACTGGCCATCGGCCTAGGTCCGAATAGCTGAAGGCAACGGAATAATAGCCGGTTTGTCAGCCCATTTTATTCATGGAACAGGGCACGGCAGGAATACTTGGAAAGAAGCAACAAGTAAAAGAAAATGCATCTTATTTTCTCTGGTTCGCAACCGCTCCGCCCCGCAGCGTGTGTGACTTGCATACGGCTCCTCTGTACGAGCCTATTCATATCAGATTTCATTTCTTGCTGCACGGGTTGCTATGGATACAATTCTGAACTGCTGCTTTTGTAGGCCAGGAGATTTATGACTGCATCCCGAATGATTTTGCTCATCAGTCGCACAAGATTGGTTGTTTGGCTTTTTTTTTTTTAAATACACAGAAGTGGAAACAAACGTACCTCGCATCTGTCAAAATATTTTTCACAACTGAATCCTGTATTTTGGATCTTCTTGAGGTCTGTCAGAGTCTGCGGATCACTCCCCTGCTTGTGTTAAGTTACTGATTTATATGAAATGCGTAACCAGACGAGTTCCTAAGAGCCAAGGCCTGGCCAAAGTTGAGGGTCTGCATCAAAACAGACCCTCATGCATTAGCCCCTGTTCCAATCGTACTCATTCCAGCCTTTCACACGCAAAGACAGTCGGGTTCAGTGAAGCCACAGCACAAACAGACTCTTAGAAATCCAAATCATGTGATTTATGATTAGGTTATTGTTTGTCAAAACTCCAGGAAGCCTCCAATTCACACAAAATGAAGCGTGTACAAGTAATACAAAAGAGCATGTCATTAATATTAACCTCCAGTAATTCTAAAGGACCTGACAACAAATCTTCCCATTAAACAGACAGTCGGAAGCTCTGGGATAAATGTACTCCTCCACCTTCCTGGATGCTATTAATCATACAGGATGCACATTGTCTTACCTTTCCTCGGACGGGTTCATCTGCAGAGTCTCTGGCGTCGTACCGATGGCCAGAGGAATTCTGTTCCTGTAAAATCTCTGGATGGTCTAGAACTGGAAAATACGACATTGTTAGGGAGCACTTGCACTGCGTGACTCCAGGTGCTCGCACAAACACGCCGCACGCTGCACGGAAGGTAAGTGACAGCTGCTTTTCTTGAACTGCCAGGCTAGCGGCACTCCCACCTTTACTCCAGCGGGGAGTGGGCACCAGGAGTGGGGCGCTCGGCTGGGCGCATCACGGCGATGCGACGTGGTGTCGAGGGACCACGTTGCTCGAGTGGCTTCGGAGCCGTGGTTGGACTGGGGTCGGGGTGAAGGCCAGACTGGCAGAGTTTGGAAAAGCATTTCAGCGTGGTCGCTTTTCAAGTGCAGGACAGAAAGGGCCTGTCAGATCACTTGGTGCATGAGGATTTCTTACAATATCTTCTTGTTTTCCCACGATGTTTTACCTCTTCACATGACCCACCCTCCCTTCAGGACAGCCTAGAAACTGCACCACCAGTGATGCAGCACCAGTTGGCACTACACCTTCACCGCCAGTCTTCTGGGCAATTTTCCATCCATTAACACAACATTACAGCTCACTGAACGAACGTGAATAATTTTCACTGTTAATATTTAATGAAACACAGAGTGACCCATTACACTGAACCAAGACACACCCAGGCACAAGAGGAAGAAATCAAATCAAGCACCATTTAAATAATCTTTACCAAATTCCCCAAAATGACCGGCAATTCTGAATTTTCAGCTGGAGACATGGCCTAAGACCAGAACCACTGGTGGACGAGTGCTCAAAGCTTTCTGAAAAACAAGGCTGCTTAAAGCGTTTCAAGTGGGTCAGGCTGTCTCACTAATCGCTGTTGAAATGTAGGCCACTGCGCTTCCATTTGCACAGCGGTAGCCCAGCTAAGTTGTTAGAGACACCAACCCCTCAAATAAACCCTGAGCATGGGACCAGAGCTGCCATGGAGTAAATTTACAGCTGGCATCCCTGTGATGCAACCAGCAGAACATGAATTGTTCTATGCTCTTGCTGGACCGAGACCAGTATCTGCTAAAAGATGCCATCCTTGTTGAAAAATATCTATGAAAATAATGATATTCCATCAGTATGTTGAAAGGTATCTATTATTAACTAGCTAACTAGCTAATTATTAACTTCAAAACAGCACACTTTCTCAAGAAAACACGTAAAAGAATCGTAATTGGCCTACATCAAGCTCTCGTGGCTGCTCCTGGGAACTGAACCGGCTAATTTAAGGACATTTATTTGGGTAACGTGCACCGTTACACAGAAATAGTGGTCCATGGGCCCCATACAGCAGCACAAGCCAGATCACGTACGTAAGTCGTTAAGTGCGATAACCGAAAGTCCTTTGTTAGAGTAATGGCAGAGGAAACAGATACACCACGGAGAAGATAGGGGCACAGGTCAACAGTACAAGTCCCTCAAGGTCAACATAACCAACAGCCTGTGCTTAAGGGCTTGGCTGCCAGGCATAGCAGGCTAGGAGGGAACACGTATGCAGGCCACCGAGTGCCTGGTCACCTCAGAGAGGTTGTAATTAATATCACTCGCTAGATTAGCGTAGGCTAGTATGGAGAAATACACTGGAGACCGTTAACATGCTGGAAGTGGTTAGCTACTCCTAACACGGTTCTGGAGTCGGAGCAGATCTACACCCAAGCACCTGCAGTTTTGGGCCACTCACCTTCTAGAGCAACCCTGGGCAATGCCACGTAAAAGCTCACACCGAGGTTTCACTAGCTGCAAGGGGAGTAGTAATACTTACAGCTTGGAAGTGCAGGTGTAACTTCTGAAGCTCCTGCGAAAGCGCACACACATAGAGTCATAGATGCTATCAGACTCTGCTTTTGCTGCCTGGAAAAGGCTGTTCTTTAGAGACAAGGAAGAATCTGAATTGCTCAAAACCACGTGTGAATAATGCCACTGTTGGCATTCTGAGTGAGCATGTGGCACACATAAAGTAGCGAGGATTTTTTCGTCGGTATCTGAACACCTGCACGGGAGATCAAAACTAGTTTCTTAATAAATTCCTCACAAAGTCAGTTAGCTTTTGAATACATTATTTTTCCTAATGTGTTTCAACACATCAGTTTTTTTAATCTTCTATAAAAAGGCATTAGTTCACTTCTCTCAGTGGAATTTTAGGCATCAGAAACGTATTCATAATATATTAAGTAAATATTCCAGGAGAGAGCCTTAATAAGTTCATCTTTTCAATAAATAACTAAAAGGCCCATGCGCATGACTGAAAAGCAGAAAAACAAATTTTGGGCTCTGCTTTCCTTTCACAACACTGCAAGTCATCTTAGGAAGAAACCCACATCCCTGCCTTTCAGCACTCTCACTCCATGCAGGTACGAGGTTTGCCCAGCACGGACCAATACGGGGGGTCAATATACACCCCCGAGACACCCCAACGATGTCACTGCAAATGTTTCTAGAGCTAAAATGCTAAACTAGTCATCACCCTAAATCTGCTCTGTGTGTTGGTGAGTGATTTGATACAATCGTTATTCTCAGAATTAGCGTTGCTGCAGTGATGTGAATGATTCTGCCCACTGTGTCTCACAGTCACAAAGCTTTTTTGGCTGCAGAATTAAGAGCTTGACAGTTGCTCACAATTTTGGGACTGAAAGAATGCATTTTTTTACAACTCCATACCAAGGTTGTCCAAAAGAGCAGGCCTGGCTGTGACACAGCTGCATGTGGGTTTTCCATGTGGGGTCACACAATACATACGCCACATCCACTGCGAGTTTTGTGGATGCTTCAGGAAGGACATGGTGATCCTTCACCAGCCGGATGACAATCCGGCAGCTTTGCTCCGGTGTTGCTGGTTCAGGGCACTGTAGATGCTGAGGAACTTGCAGAACATTTTAAACTGGTGGCTTCTCCATAGGTTAAAAATACCCTCTTCCAGCAGCCTTTCAGTTGTCACCTCCCTGAGGTACATACCTGTGCTTGATGCAGCAGGAGTCAGTAGGGCCTCGGCACCGAGGGGGTCTCATCGCTCAGGTTCAAAACCTATTTGTGCAGCAACATGCAGCTAGTCTGACACTTACTAAAATAACCCAAACAACCCCAACCAGACCAGATGGGTTGGGTACGTGTAGGGCATCTCTTGAAGAGCCTGCATTCAGGCTGAGCAACTTAACACAACCAGATCTAGCCGTTAAAATCCATCGGAGTAGCTGGGTTAAAAAGGGGAAGAATCCTTGTAAGCCTCAGCGGGCAATAGCACTAAGTTTGCACATAAACCAGCACCAGCTATTGTTTTATTGGGTTCCTTTGATGGGGGGATGCTGAGCAGAGAGGAATTTTTATGCATATATGCATACACAAAAGGGCTATTTTTTCATCTGTGTAAAGTCAAAACATACTGGAACCATAAATTACATCTTGGATCAGTGTTCAGAGTTTATATCCTTTTAAGGAATACGGCCTAAAGTTAGCACCCCACTTCCAAGGTATAATCTTCCATCGCTGTTAGATGCTGCTGCCTGATCGCAGCCAGACAACTGGCTCAGAACCAAGATCACAAACGTGCCAACATATGGAAACAATTGCTTTCCTTTTGATTGGAAATGACATTCTGGGTGTGTGCACAACATCCCCCATCCATCACCCCAAACGGTTCATTATTTGGACTTAAACTTATCATCAACCAGAAGATCCCTAGAGCCTTATGTGAAGGCTAGGAGCGAGATTTACACAGCCCAGAAAGCCAAAGAGCCTCTGCGCGGTGATGGCCCATCTGAGCCACGACGCCTCCTGACTGAGCTCAATTCCTTCTCCACACAAGGTTGTGTTTCACGCACCAGCACTGATGCAAAAGCAGCTAAATCTTGAAATCATACCTGCACAGGAAGGCTGTGCTGGCTGCTAATCACCCCCGGGACTCTGAAAATCTCTGCACATCGGCAGTCTCAGCAGGAGAGGGTGAGGGGAGAGGTTTAATAGCGAGTATTTGACCAGAGGTTACATGCTTGGACACCAGCAACAGCCCATCTGTCTCCATGAAGCAAGCTGCAGTGGCGGAAGGCCTGCAACACAAGGGAAAAATCCCGAGGAATTTTGTTGAACCCGCATGGCTGATCTGGAGATAGAGAGATCGGGAAGGCAAATTGCTCCGGAGAATGCAAGGTTCAAACAGTTTTCTGGGCTCACACAGCAAAGAATAGTGAAAGGAAACACAGGCAAGTCAATTCCTAAAGAACTGCCAGTGTAAGTGAAAAGACAGACAGGTCTGGGTTTTAAATCAGTAAATCCTAGTGATGGTGGTACTTCTGGATGTATTTTTGGAGTTACTCTGAGCAGAGGCCTTGTGCATCCCAGGAGCAGGCCCCCAGACTGAAAATGGAATTGTAGCAGGATTGAGGAGAAGGTGTATTTTTCCACGTAAAGCCAGGGCTTCATGCGAATGTTTGATGGCTACTGGCCATAGGACTGACTATTTCATGTTAACATACCTTCTGAAATCAGTTCTTCTGTGGATTATTTGGCAAGTGGAAGACTGTGATGACGATAAAGGTCCTATACGGCAACCAAGAGAAATCACTCAGCTCCCACCCCTTTCAGCCTCCCTGAAAGACCAACAACCAAATGTCAAAGGCAGATTTTCAGATGTATTTAGGCACTTGAAGATGCAGACACGCGCCACGTAGGATTTACAAATGCATCTACGCAGGCTAGATGTCTATCGGCACCTGTTAGTGTCCTTTGGGTCTCCTATCTGCAAGAAGATTACGGATGTCAGCTAGTCAGCTCGCAGCCAAATTCTACCTTCAGTCGTATGCCCAACATTCCACTGAAGTGAAAAAGAGGAGTGAGCTCATATCTAAGGATGGGACTCAGCTCCAAGTAGAATAGGAAAAAGGATTTGCTGCGTGACAAAAATAGGCCGAGTGCCTTGTCACATCTGACAACTGCCTCAGATGGCATTGCATGGATTTGTGGTAGTGCTATTAAAATAGACTATATTTCCACTGAATAAACTGATTTTGTGTCGCAGGTAGGTGGGTTGCCCCTTCCTCACT